GGTAAATTCATCAGTGCGTCAGAGGTGTCCGCTTCCGCTTTCACTTTTTGTAGTATACTTGGAGCAACTCTGTGTAAGTAGACTGTTTAATTCAGGTAGTATAGAATATAGATATGAAGCCAAAGAAAATAAAGCATTAGCCTACGCAGATGATAATGCCTTCTTCTGCGTAGGTAAACCGAGTGTTGAGGAAGCAGTAAACACAACTATGCGTTTTTCTGAAGTTTCTGTAGGTAATGTCAATTGTAATAAAAATCGAGGATTTTGATTAGGCACGTGAATGCTAACCCCCGGGTATTTGCAAATGTTCGTTGTAATGGTGCTCTAGTTCGTCATCTTGGTGTTCCTCTTGATAACCGCCGTAATAGTGGCCCTCATTGGGTGTCCAACATAACCACCATCCGACGTAAGGTGTTAACTTGGCAAGGGCGGGATCTTTCCCTTTTTGAGAGCTAAAACATGCAACGTCTGTCTTGCATCACAGCTTATCTACATTCTACAAGTATGGCATTGCTCCCGCGTACATATCCAGGCGTTTCACTGGATATTTGCCTGCATCATTCGGAATTTTTCATCGGAATCCACGCGAAGAGACAACCTTTTCCTTCCGCTTGAGAAGGGGGGGGGTCTTAGTCTTGCGCGTTTGTTTGTAAAACAACTGGTGATACAATTTTCTTACCTTAAGGATGTGCGTCACCCGTTTTTTTTACTGTTATCCGGAATAGAAATTTCTTACCACCTCCCTTTTCTTTTTCTCACGGACAAGAGTGGCTGAACACTTGCAATTGTGGCGTTTCTTTAAAACGATTGTCGAGACTATGCAGTTTTTTGAAAGCCGGCTTCACTTTGGATATCTATACATTGTAGACAGAACAACACTCACTGCTGCACTTGTCAGCACCCTTTTCCTTAAACCTGTTTACCGACAACCATACTGATCTCGAGCTGGTCATGCTGTATTTTACCATGTGCATAAAATCTGTTTATCGAGAGCAGCCAAAACAATTTTCGTTAAGCTACACACCTTCACAATACCCGTAAAGATGTGGGTTAATGAAAAAAGTGTATACGTGCCCAGGTCACTGAATTCCAGACTGTGAAACGAGCCTGAAACAATAGAGCATTGCTTTATTCATAGCTGTGGTGCGTGTAGTTTCTAGGAAATTGTTAAGAGATCCATAAAAAAAATTTCTTTTACAGCTCATGGTGTTAGGTTCCTACGGATAAAAAAAATTCTAACAATGATGCTTCATACCATTTATTTGTGTTATTGGGCGTTCATTTATTCTCGAGGAGCCGCATGACTGACAGGCATGCTAAGCCACCTCGCTCAGGTCTGTTTTCCGAAAAGAGGCAGCCAACGTGCGTAGTGTTGTAGAGACGTCCGACCCTGTTCCAGATTGGCTTGAACTTCTGGACATGTTTGTTTACCAGACTTTTTGAAGGTTCATTCTACTGTATGAAACTGTCTTGTGCATGTGTGCACGTGAGCAAATATTTGAAACGATTGATTGTATAGCTATACATCCCGTCACTTGATTGCATTATTTCAAAGCAATAACGAAAGAAAAGCACCGTCGTGGCTCAGTGGTAGAATACTGGGCTGGCCCCAGCAGACCCAGGTTCGAGCCCCACTGTGTCATTAGTGCTGGGTTGTATAATAATTTTGTGCGATGCTGTTACAGACACAAGCGGTGGCGGTGGCGGCGCCAGACAACTGCGCGTGACCCTAGTTTCAATCTCATAACAGCTTTGGGTGTAAAATTACTCGTAGAAGACCTTCTATTGGCCATTGGCTGATTTGAATATGGCGCGCTCGGTCGTTAGAAGGGCCACTGTGGGAGGCCAATACTTGTCCACGTCCACGCGTGAGCATGCAATCACACTCAAAGATCGCGCATTCAAATAAAAGGAAAAAAAATGTTCTCAAGGTCACGTGGTGCCCATGACGTCTTCTTGCCCACGCCGTCCTTTTCTGTTTAGCTTTCAGCTCTTATGTTGGGACGAAAAAAGTGAGAATGTGATTGCAGAGTGTGACAAACTTTTGTAACTCTGGTCGTACTGGACCAATTCCTGAAATTTTAGCTGTGCTGAAATCGTGAGCCACAGAGCTCTTTAAGTGAATCTTTTTCATATTTCCTTGGAACAGTAGTCAAGGGCCCCTTTACACCTCTAAGTCGTTGGAATAATCACTCGTTCTGACACCCCATGTCAATTGACACTTGTACCACGAATTATTACTGAAATATTTAGTGTTAAATTGTGAAGGATGTTTACAATACGCGCATGTTTTAAAACTAGAAATTTAGTATCACTCTACTTTAAAGCTAAAAATAGTATTCTTCTGCAATCACAGGCAGACGTATGGCTGTCCGGCTGAGCACGCACCTGCCATGCAAATGACCCAAGTCACATCGCTACTCGGATAGATTTTTCGTTCACGCCTAAGATAATTTCTGGCGCCAAACTATTGAAACCAACACCGACAACAACGCTGACGCTGCAATTGCATCGAAACGAGCTCTTTACTACGGTAGCGTTAAAAGACAAGGGACCTTGAAATGGCCTGCGAAATTTATAATTGTTTGGCCCCTTCGAAATGCATTAGGCTATATTCAACAGTGTAATGTACACTTCAGTTCTTGGCTGCGATGCTGGAAGCTGTATGACATTGCGATGATATCCATAACCATGGAACAATGGATACTCGTCTAAAACATGTCGAATGTAGCTAGAGCATGTGTTCTATAACAGAAATGATCTTCGTTGAAATTCACAGCATACTTCGCAGAGCATTTTTAAATGAATGAAATCTCATTGCGATTTCTTGGTATGTTGGATGCAGACGTAATGCGTGTCTATGATAAAGTACCAATTCATCATATACCAATTTATCTAATGTGAGGTTCAAGAACACCATGGGCAAATGTACGAAGCTGTTCGCCTTCGCAGAACGACTTCAGATAGAAAGAAAATGTAGGTTACTATGCTGAAACTTTGTTATTGTAAGTGTTGTTTCGATACTTAGGTGGTTCTAATATAAAATAAGACATCGTATCGATCAGCGCACGTTTTGACTGATCTGCGCACTCAATCACGTATCGCAATATCTTCAGTGGAAAACAAGCTATTCTGCAATGAATTAAGATTTCAAGTACCCGTAAACATACTAAAATTACAATGAATATTGATTTTCATGTTTCATTGAAGTTACCTTGCAAAGCAATTAAAGAATATTTAAGTTACTTTGGCTTGTGAAAACCTTTCGCTCTTATTGTAAGCTTACTCTTTACTTTGTAAGGTAAAGTGTACGTTACAGGTGCACTTGTAATGTAACCATCACTTATATGCTTATATATATAGTTTTTTTCTGTCACCAAGCTATATAAGACCACCGAGACCTTCTGATGGGCTTTCAGCGTTCAGTCCGATTTTCTCTTTTATAATAAAAGAGGAAAAACATCCTTTAAAAAAGAAATATACCATTTATTTTCGTTATCATACATTTATATGAGTTTGGTATTGAGGCGATATCCTTGCGAAAGAACATGCGCACGCTTGAGCGAAAGTATATGGATCATGAGAGTGCGACCTCAAATCACTGTTTGTACCGTTTATTGGCCAACTGTCTGCAGACGAGATAATTCCTTTGACAAATTTTTTTAGAGAGATGCTCTCAACTGCGGACAGTTCACCCCGAGGCGACGCGGAGAGCGAAAATATATGGGCAGCAATAGTCTGTATACTTTGGCGCACGGAATTTTCTAACTTTACTTCTTCGTTGTGTTTGATATTGTATACGCATTGTGACAACCATTCCCACGCATCATTATTCGGCTTTTTCAGCTTTTCAAATGATGACCGTCACATAACTTGATTCAATGCTGCCTGTTCTTTTTTTTTGCACTTCGTCACTCGTGTTGTCGGTGAAGGCTGCCGTTACACATCGGCACTTTTCATTATAAAAAATAGGCATGCTGATTCGAATATTGGAGATGCAAATAACACAAATATTTAATAAATACGGCAATATTTCGTTATGTGATTGCTAAGTACCATAAGTACTACTGTTCAAGGTGTTTGGATATCGCGATATGTTGAGGCAAGTGTTTCTGCTTCAGCAGCGCGCCACACTGAACTGTGGCATTCATGGCGTTTAGCCTCTGCTCGCGAGCACGTTCAGTAGCTATGGCCGACGACGCTCTTTTGCCACTTGGATCACTGATTGTTAGAAAGACTTGATGGCATTTCTTTCTTTATAGGTATATGAATTACAAAAGAGGACCATGAATAGCGTGACTTGCGTGAATCATTTCATGCAGCACATTTCAAGTCAACTGCCGTACAATTAGCTTAGCGCAACGGCCTCACTAGCCTGGAGAACGCAGAAGGTCGCGCATGGGTGTATTCCGTAGAAACCAACGCGCGATGACGCTCACTACTGCAGCGCCACGGGTGACAGGCACGGAAGTTGTTTTTTCAGCATTGGCGTGCCTTTCTTTTTAAGTTCTTCTCGCCATCACCGCCTGTCATCATCTTCTACACTGCACTCCGTGATCACTATCATCCTCGTGCGCTCTGCCGGTTGCAACGATGCCGACCCCACTAAACACAGAAATGGGTGTCCCAAAACTGTGTGCCAAAAAAAACGATTACTTTTTTTACTATAATTCAAGAGGCCTTGCTGTTGAGCTAGTTGGTTTCTTCGTAAGGAAACTACTGGTAGGGCGTTAAAAAGACATAAACGAAGCGAAACCATAAACTAACAAATGGCGTCCATGTATGCCAGTTTGTGTCTATGCTTTGTCCCCGTCTCCCTGGGGCCTTACCTGTTTTGTCCCCGTTTTCTCTTCCCCTGCATGCCACCATTCGCGCCAGCCTGCCCTACATTGTGGTAAATTCCTGCCAGCAATTTCAATTCCTGTTTTTCTGAAAGAGTAAATTTTCGCATATTCAACTTTTCACAATGCTTACTCTGGCACGCTCTACACATCTTTCAGATCAACGTCGTTGCGGATCTTCCCGTAGGCGAGAATCTCTACGATCACGTCACCGTGAACGGGATCGCAGCATCGTCAGCGGAAAACATCGAAATTAACTATTATTTACCATCTACCGTGCCAAAGTATGCCCTTTCTAAACAGGTAAGAGCAGATCGAGAACCACTGTTCGAATGTTATGTGCGCTTGTCTTTTGTTTAAGAACTATATATTGTTTTTTTTGATGTTTTTGCACTGGTATTTTATGTACGAACTTTATCTTACATATAAAGCACCTCTAAGGAGTCGGGAGGGTTTTTCTGCCAGTTATAAACTTCCAGCCAAACACTCTAATGCCATTGGGTCTATATGAGCCCTAAAGTAGTTTGAGCAGCTTGAAACAAACAAAATACCTGACGGGATACTACGCGCTGCTTCATCACAAATCTGCAGGATCTAGTTACCCCACGCAATAACATGAATGCTGAGAAGGGGAAAGGGGTAGGGCCTATGCCTCTTACCCAGCCTTTTACGCAGGCCCGAACGCGCTAATATGTGAGTGCGTTCTGGCAGCGCTTGGGGCAGCTGTCGCATATGCGTAAAAACATGGACACCAAATCTAGAGAAAACTTCGCCGAATAAAGGTGGAGTTGAATGGACTAGTACCTGCACCAGACAAATTATGTTTTCTTCTTTCGATAAACTGTTAGCATTGGTTACTTTTAACAACAATATGCGAGCTTGCAGGTCCCAAAGCAAGATACGATTGTGCGAGATGCCGCAGTGGTGGAATCTGGACATTTCGACCATGTGACTTTCTTTAACATGCACTGACATTGCACAGTACATGAGCTTTTACTATTCCGCCTCCATCAAAACGTCATTGCAGCGGCCACGTTCGAATCCGTGACCTAATGAACCTTTATAAGTCAACCTCACAAGTTGATGTTTGTAGTAGCATATTGACACGACGAATCTGGCATATTTTAGAATGAAGCTGACTCTCTGCCTTTGGCTCCATTTCAGTGATGTTCCCCTACGTAGTTAATGCCACACTTCATGAGAGTATTCACGGTTGGGTTTAAGCCTTCTAAAGAGAAATAAAAGCTACACGAGCAGGTCAGCTTAATATCGAACTTAAGCAAGAGCCAAGGATAACGGTGATTTGCACCATTCTATCACGTTTTACAGCAGCTACCAGTGATTTCCTTCGCATTTTCTTCTGTATTAAAAATGCGGAAAAAATTCTATACATTTAGTCATTACTCTTACACCCAGACATTCGTTCTATCTTCACATCACAGCCTTATGCATTATCGCTTAAAATGTCTTGGGCATATTTGTTGCAAATACGCAACTGTCCACCTAACATCCGTAAATTACCATTCCTAACACTTGCGCCTCCTCAGCTTGAATTTGCATCCTCCATAGGTTTCTCGATCTGACGTTCTTCAAGATATATGGATTCAGTTTGTCGAATAACTTTCTGCAATTATAACAATCAGTCAAGTGGGACTCACACAAAACTCAATTTTTCCCTTTGGACACTTCTAGTCAGTGTGTCATAGCACTCATAACGCTCAATATGTTAATCATTTGAAGCCACCAACCTTGCCTTCAAACATTGAATCTTGAAAAATTGGTCATTTGTTTCGCCTGCTGACCCAAACATCGCGTGTTCAAGACTTTTCCAGCGGTCACATTTTGTTGGAAGGGGATTGCCAGAAGTTCGCCTCTGCGATTTAAGTGCTTCTGAAAATACACCAGATAGATGAAATTTCCGGAGGCATTCATTACACCGTGTCTCAAACATATCCTGGTTCGGGACGTAAAAGCATACATACTACTAATAATTATTGCACCATCCTCGCTAAATGTCGACAATATAATTATCTACGTCTACTATACACACCTGGAAGAGTCACACAGAATGACGTGAATACTTTTTTTGCACCCGAAGATGAGAGTATACCAACTTTCCCAAGCCCCTTAATTAGTTACACATTCCAAAGCCTTGCATTGGTTTAGGGCTGCTAAATATTTGTCGTCAATGGACGTCAAAGTGAGCTGCTGGAAAACTACAACTGACGAATAGTGACCTATTATTTATTGAGGCTGCGCAATTCGTTTTTTTGCAGCACCTGCAATATTTCCACACGTGATAAACACAAGCTAGAAACACATACTTCACATGTGTGGGAACGTGTCGAAAATAATATGAACATAAATATTTGATGCTAAAATGAGCACACTGGCCTACTATGAAGATTGTGTAGTCAGCTTCGAAGTTTGATAGTAAAATCGTCAAGATGTGCACCTATTGCTAAGCACAAAACAGCATTTCAGGCTTAATAAACTTACAGTTTTTGTTTACAAACAGAGTAAAATGTTCACATATATTGTAAACACTAAATAGTATCAAATATTGAGCCTGCAGAGTATAAAAAACTCACAAGATATAAATCAATGAGTACGTAATGCATAGAGAAATACTTAGGTTACTTCTGTTATACAGACGAAGCCTGCGATCGGCTTTTTAATTTGTCGAACAGCGCATCGGTGGAAAGTACACACACACGTACTTTTTCTTTAAACAAATCGCACATGCACGAGCAGAGTGTACGAAGCACCCTGCAGCAGAAAACACAGAAGAATCCCGATTTGAACTTTCGCTTGATATATATAAGTTATCTGTAAAATGTACAATTAAGTTGCGATGCAAACCTATTCAGAGAGGCTAGACATTCATATGCTGTCGGCGAGAAAAAGTTTCCGAAAGGCTATGAGCGGGGTGAAGTGCACATCGAATCAGAACATGGCGTCTACAGGCTGCAGTTTTTACAAAGTAAAGCTTGCAGTGCTATGGATTTCGTTCCTGCCACTATGTGTTAGGACTGTAAGGTACACTGTTCACTGGCTGCTGGTTGTCGTAAGATAAATCTTCGTTTTTTTTTGGCCCTAATGCTCCCGCATAGACTGGCACTCAGTATTCCCTAATGCGTGCACTAGCAGACGATTGGGTGCCTTAACCTAACGAAACAAGGCGGACGAGCTCATAGTGTTGACACGTCACAAAGCGTTATTAATTTATAATTGCTATAGAACAGTAAAGAGCAACAAAGATGCAACTTTCAGCACAACTGATAATGTACTAGATGTGTCGATGATGTATACATTCTTTAATCTGAATCACTTACACCACTAACAATCATGATTGTAGCAAGCTACCGTCATACTTGGTACTTTAAACTGACTAACCATCTTTCAATGCTTTCTTCATGAAAACTTTTACGTAGACGTGCATCTCATCCTGTTTTGGTTATGTGCGCATTATTACACTTTGCATCAGTGTAAAATTACCGTAATGCTGCATCTTCATTGCTGTTATGTATGAGGAAATGTCATAGCTTTATATTTATGTTATACATGCTACTGCTCGTTTAAGAATTTATTCCACAGTTTTAAATGCTTTTATTGATAAATACTGCAGTTGTAATTCATGCACAGATATGACATTTTTCTCACGTCTTCTTTTTCACTTCTACTTTAGAATATAGCCATCTTCTTATCTAATAGCCTCCCAAAAGGGCCCAAAAATATTTTGATTACTTAATTAAAGTGCGAAAAGGTTTGTTGATGTAAGCTGCGTGCGTTTACGTATGAAGTGCTGTCTACGATAAACCCGCGCACTATAATAAAAGTGTGCTACTGTTTTCGTGGGACAACTCACCTCGTGTTGTTATACAATATATCTGTGTGTTCTCGCGTATAGGAAGTTGATTTACAGAGAAACTTGTGTCGAGAGTATAGATACCTGGGGGCTTCAGGCTTTACTAGTATTTATAATGATAATTAGATGCACAGCTGTACAATCGCACACCCCAATTTTTCCAGCTGCTGTTCGGACTAAGTTTATGGGATTATTCTATCTTTTCTTTCAACTTGAACGCTTCAATCTGTCGTGAAGATTAGTGCATTGCGCGCAAACGTCGCGAAAAAGTTTTTTAATTAGATGGCAAGCCATTTTAATTTCTATTCCAAGTAGTTCGTGACGTGATTATGCAGGCTTAGCCATCTGACAATAATCGTGCAGCATATGACTGACCCAGTATTTATCTAGGAAAAGACACGAACGAAATCTTCCTGATTAGCTCAACTGCAACATTTACCGGCTACTAAGGAGGTACCGTGAATTTAGTGAATTGTGCTCGAAGATAGTAGATGCTATCATTTACTCAATAATTACTAACCTGCCAGAGCGTGCAGTTATAGTTCCTTCGTCATCATATGGCGAGGTTCTATTGGAAATTTAGGAAATATGAGAAACCGCACTGAATTCTTGTTTCAGGGCCACTTATTCATGCATACGGTGTTGAGTGCGTCGCCTTCTTGAGCACGCCAGATGCTGATCCAACGCACCCAGATATTCAGTTTCTCCTCGTGACACTCAACCCCACGACAATCGAAGCCGGATACCTAGCTGGTGTGATAGGAATATCACAGGTGAGCTTCAATTTTTACTTCAATAATAATTCTTTAAGCCTTTCTGCACCGTGAATATAAGCAAAACTTTATTCAACTTTAGCGAAAATAGTAGGTGTAGTTCGTACTTGTTTATGTAATCAAAACTGCATCATTCTTCAATTTAGTAGGGTTCCTTAGGTTCAGTAATTGCTTTAAAAAATGTAAAGATCGCCCCACAGATCGGGATCACTATGAAAACTGGAAATAAAACGAAATCCAAGAAACAAATGACAGAGTGAACCTATCTGTGGAATCGAGCATCAAGAAACGAATTCCACCTTTTGCATGTCTTTACAGTAAATGTGCATGTCTCTTTGCGCTTACTCTCGAAAATGATGTGCACGGCACCGTCATACACAGCAGTGAAGTGTACTGAAACAGGAAAGAGCTCGGAACGAGAATCGTAAACTGAAGCCCAATCAGAGCTGCTTGGGGCACTTCTATCAGTAGTCAGCAATGTGTCAACAGTTGCGCACGGCTTTTCAACAGTTGCGCACGGCTTTGCTAAATTAGCGCAGAGGTAATATGTCCGCTTCGCTTAAAAGATTGTGTATATTCTATGATTAGCATTAGAACAATATATGACCACACATGCTCCTTTCTTTCAATTTTCATTGCCCAATGGAGAGAGTGCTAGAACGGTTGGAAACGACCTAGACAATCTTAGAATCTTGCGAGTGACATTGCGAGTTTGGGCTGGCCTCGCCGCAGTGGTCTAGTAGCTGAGGTACTCGACTGCTGACCCGCAGGTCGCGAGATCGAATCTCGGCTACGGCTGCTGCACTTTCGATGGAGGCGAAAGTGCGGTAGGCTCGTGTGCTAAGATTTCGGTGCACAATAGATTGATTGATTTATATGTGGGGTTTAATGTCCCAAAACCACCATATGATTATGAGAGAGGCCGTAGTGGAGGGCTCCGGAAATTTCGACCACCTGGGGTTCTTTAACGTGCACCCAAATCTGAGCACACGGGCCTACAACATTTCCACTTCCATCAGAAATGCAGCCGCCGCAGCCAGGATTTGAACCCGCGACCTGCGGGTCAGTAGCCGAGTACCTTATCCACTAGACCACCACGGCGGGGCGGTGCACAATAGAGAACCTCAGGTGCTAGAAATTTCCGGATATCTCTACTATGGCGTCTCTCATAATCATGTGGTGATTTTGGAACGTTAAACCCCACTGTATTTATCTAACGTTAGGGCTGAAACTTCTGCGGTATCTATAGATAAGACCAAAGCATTCGATGATAAACGTATAAAGCCGAAGTGCTAGTGCGCTTTTCTCTTTATCGACGGTTGATGCTGTGTTCGCCGCTATCAGTGCACAGTGGGTATTTCCGTATCATAGCCACAAGTTGTTCAAAATAAAAAATTTAATGTCGGACACGTCAACTGTTGCCTTCGTCAACGCTACGGCCTCAGGATGATGTATGCATTTAAAAACTGTATAAAATTCTGAACGCAATTAACAGAAAGAACAATGCACTCGCTCCACTACAGTGA